ACTGGCTTCTCGCTTTTTCCTGAATCAAGGCTAGGCTTACAGGCATACGCCGCTGATTTTGATCTTCCATCCATATGCACCTCTTTGTTTTGTTTTCACAATTGACAGCATTGGTGTAGATCCTTTTACAGGTTCAAGAATTATGTCTTTGTCTTTCAGAATTGTTCTGATCGTTGACCGACTGAAACCCAATGCTCTACCAAGGACTGACGGTGTTTCACCTCTTTCAGAACGTTTAATTACATCAACTTTCACTTCCATTGTAATTGTTTTCCTTTTCTTGGATGCAATACTATCATTTGCATTCAATTTGCATCTGCGAGCCATGTTGAGGGCAGAAAAATAGTGTTAAAAAAAAACTTTGCACTTGGGACATGTTACTGAGATGAGCGTAAGGTGTATTGACTCTCCACTCCTCACCTGCCATTCCGCCATGCAAACTAGTTCTCAAACATTACTATGAATGGTTGTACTTATGTCGGATTCTTAAAATAATATACTTTATGGAGACTCCTTTCATATCGGCAGATGTCCGTAAGTCATACATACATAACCTGAGGAGCTCCTGTAATAACTAAGATTGTTAATAATACTGAGATTCCACTATAAATAACTCTGCTGTCACCCATTACAGTTGATGCTCCTGTGTACCGTACTGGTAGGCCTACTGAGCTTTGGCAGACGACTGCATGTTGTTTACTGATCACTACTGATAAATACTGTATGCACTATTAACCTAATGTTTCTTATAATAGATTATAATAATAATGGTTGCTCCTCATGTAATGATGATGGCCAGCCCTAGGGCCACTTAGGCGTGAATTTGTTTACAGTGTAGAAGCTTTCGCCAACACTACAACCACACCCTAAGTTAGTGAATTGCATGACCCAGTGTCAAGGAATAGTCCGAGAAGACCGGACAACTCGCCAACTGCACTGGCTAACCATTACTCCGGAACACGATCCGCAAATCGATTAACATCCAGGTCCCCAATTACTGCTGGGTATACAGAGGCAAATGGTGTAAAGAAACTTGCCCATAGTTTCACCCTGGCCGGGGATCGAACCCGGGTCTATTCGCTTGCGAGGCGAGCATGCTGACCATTACATGACTGTCATAAATCCACTCATGAATCATCCCAACCTATTTTCAGTATTGTATACAGATTAGCTGAAATATGTGGTTAGTAGTAATCAACTGATGAGCTGTCCAGGCATCAACAAACTGTGGTGCATAAACACATGATCATTTCTCTTATTTTATATTAAAATAATTAATTTCTTTATATGTCATTCTGCAGTATTGTCCGTCTGTTCAGGGTTCAGTAGTAATGTTGTCAAGGCATATAAACTGAGAACTGATAGTGTTGGTGAGTATCAGCTGACACAAGCCAAATTGATGTCAAAATTTTTTTGGGTTTCTGAGCTCCCACCAACAAATTACATGAAGCTGAACGTGCAGTTCAAAACTCTTCAATGATAGTCAAATTAATTCTTAACAGTGAAAATTTTTTATATGGATGTGGACAAAAGTCAATTTAAGTTCCCCTACCAGATACCTTTAGATGCGACTTTTGTCGAGTTAAGTGCTCAAAGGGTTAATACTGTACAGGATTTTGAAATATATGCTGGCAGATGTGGTGCCTGTGTATGCTGTTATCTGCTCGGGGTGGGGAAAACTACTTTTTCATTAGTTTTCAATAGCTGATCAACTGTCTTCATTTGGTATTTATTTGTTGAACCTTTAGAAACTTATTTAATGATATACGGTACTGTACAGTACAGGCAGTATTAACCCTAAAGCTTGGGTGACGTTCCTCTACGTTCTTAGTATATTTTGAATGTCCAGGCAGGATAAAATACTTTGTATGGATTCTTTATTTACTTGGCAACTCAACTTGCATGTAATCTTTGTCTCAAGTCAAGTGGTCCAGTAACTCACCAACTCATACAAATTTGAGTACACTGGCAAAAATTCAAACCCTCTCCCCCGAGAGTTGGCTAGGGCAGTCGCATCCCCCTAATGTTCTCCGTACCAGGCTGAGGTTGGAGTTATTTTATCATTATTTTTCAACTCATAATTTCAGGTAGATAAACATAATTGCCTTCAATTTGTTCTTTTCATTCAGTTACATGCACACACAATCCTACATACAGAATGTGCAAAAAGAAATACAAAATAATAATAATTATCATAAGGTCAAGAACATAACGAGAGTAAACATATCTTAAGTGTGCAGGACTTATCACAGCAGGGTAGACATGAAATATTCAGTATTTTTTCTTTTTACTGTTATAATGCACACTTAATCTTTCATGCAGAATGTGTCCCCCAAAATTAAAGAAATGATTACAATACAATAAGGTCAGAAACATAAAGAGAATAAAAAATTTTACATCCCGGAGCTAGTGTGGATTGTTGGAGTGAGTGGAGGGTAAGACATCGGGATCTCAACCAAGCTGTGAGCAACGTTATTGTTATTTTTCAACTTGTATTTTTGGGTGTTGGGGACCAAGCACAAGAGACTGAGGGAGGAAGTGGTGTTCTCTCACATCTCTACTGTCAGGTGCTAGTGACAAGATTGCCACTTGGCAACTCAGTTTTTTTTTTTCTATTTATTTTTATTTATTCCTCACATTTACTGGTACAGTATATATTATTTTATGTACAAAGAGTAAGTTCTTCCACATGCAAACCATCCTATGGGCGACATGACACGTTCAAGTGCTTAGCCTGGCAATCACCGGGGACTGGCAGACCCTCCTACGCATCCCACACAGATCACATGTGTTACTCCCTCCTATAAGGTATAAGGTAATGTGCCAAAGTTAAACAGTATATTATTATTTTTTTTCATGTGTTTTGGAGTACAGTAAAGTAGTTGTGTACTATTTTATCATTACGGTAGTTTGGTAGGTTTTGTTCTTGTTTGTGAACTGATTTTATGTTTTGGGGGTATAGTACTGTATGATATTGGGGTACAGTATTTTTGTCATTGGAGAACTGAACTCTATTTTTCCCTTAAATTTTTCAATTTGAGATGCAAAAAATCAGCTACTGTTTTTGGATAAAGGAAATGAATTTCCATTATTATATCAAGTCATAATATTTTGTTTGAGGATCTTTTATTGAAACAGTCTTGTAGAGAATTTATTCAGGACCATTACAGTACCAAATTCCTCTTTCCTACACATTACAACAGATGCCATGGATAAAAGTTTATACACTTTTTTGCTCGCTGTAAATAGTTTCGCTCGGGACCGCGGCCTAATATAATGGGAAAGTGATAAGAGAATCGTACAAAATAGAAGAGAGTTTCATATGGAATACATTATTACTGCACTACAGTGTAATACAGCATACCTATTGATTAAAAATAGAAGCACATGTTACTTATTAATTATTCACTTATCATGAGGCAGTTGAGTATTGAGGTGACGAGGCGAATGAGGCAGGAAGTGATTGTCCTGCAAGACACTCACAATCTACACCACCTATGGTGGAGTGGAAGTTATGTTTTCACTGCTAATTTCATTGACTATTGGCTGTATTCACAGTCATTAAACCACCTGGCCAATCGGGAGCACCGTCATGTGTGTAAGAAATCCTAGGTATAATCCTAGACATATTTTATAACAAGACACCAGATTCTCACCAACCTGTCTTGACCTTGATCATCACTACAACAGCTGATGCTACAAACAGTGTTACCAATTCTGAAACTGAAGTCCCACCATAGTTACCAACCCCCATTTATAAATTTTGTTAGATTCACCCCTAAAATTAGCTTTGACTGCACACTATAACATAAGAACATAAATTTGTAGGCATATAAACAGCAATAATGAAAGGATATAAATATCAGTAATACCGGGGTTAAAATTAATGGTCGCCTGCTAGCCTTAGGCTAATAGAAGTTTCTGAGGGCAAGTTGAACATCTTGGTTGACTAATCCAATTGGCTAGTGATTACTGTGGACCGTAGTCCTACGTGAACAGTACCTTTACCTGGGTGAAGAACTTCAGATTACATAAGCCTCATATTTTATTATTAGTTTATTGGATGTTAATTGAAAGCTGAATTTTATTTTTTTTTTTTTATTGTGTAGACTTTAATGTAAAGTATCTCAAAAGATTATCTGCCAGGATGGGTCCGATGACTTCCAAAATGTTACATGCGACTCTTAATGTCTTCGGAGGGTTGGTATGCATGGCTCTGTAGTATAACCAAACATCACATTTATTACGCCAAAATAAATACACATTGCATCGTGAAGCAGGGACACGCATATCCCAAAAACCATTATCCGTGGTCTCATACTGGTTCACACAGAGCATGTACAGATACTTTTAGGGGATACAGTACTTGAGATACAGTACTGTACTGTCCTGGTATAGTGTATTGTGTGAATTGGTTATCTCTATCTTGGCCATAAAATGGGAATTCAGTATCAGCTTCCCATAGTGAATTAATAACAATGAATACTATTCTTTACTATTGTTATCCCTCAGTAATTTGTATATCCCAATCAGTACAGTATCAGGGGATATTGTTATGGAGATGCCTGTGTCATGCTGGAGGGGAATCACTTTTTTTTAAGCTGATCACCAGTAACCAGTGACCTTGAACCAAAGGTCATATATGCAATGGACAAGATGAATATTGTACATGTACTACATTTTTATTCTGTTTTGACTTGGACCTTTACATGCCACTTTTACCTATGTCAGGAATGTTGCAGCCCATGTATGGGATGTACACACTCCACAAAAATGTCTTGAACCCCTGGACACAATGGATTTGAGAATGAGCAGAATGAGGCGCAACATCTTGGAATGGCTTCAGATTCTTTGTTCATTTACAGATTGCATAGTGCTTAAAGCGTTGGAGAAGTTTTTGGTGAGAGTGTACATCATGGCATAAAAGGGACATAAGGTTCATTTAGCAGTTCTTAACAAATTGTCATTAATATTGTGTTCTCCGTCTCATCCCATATAAGCATGTGCTGGGCGGGAGTCATGACAGCACAGACGGGTCAACACCATCATCGGTGTGTGGGTCTTCACCTGCCCCGTCACCTGCCACCAACCATTCCAACGACCATGACGCACCCACCACACCTCACGATAAGAAGAGAAGTAGTAAAAATGAAGAGTCCAGATCAGTCAGTTCAGTAAGTATAACCATTGTTGGCTCAGGATTTTTTTTTTTCTCTCATGACATAATGGTACCAAGTTGATATCTCTATTAATCTGCTCTCCTTCCATTCCTGAGGTTTTCTCAATAACCCTTACACTGTTGGGTAGACATTCCCTACATTACATACAAGGTGAATTAGGAATGCCTTTAAAACATTAGTATCCTCCAGCTCTTGTTATAGTTGAGCCCCAGCAAAAAAGTCTCTGGCCCAGGTAACTTGTATCCATTATAGACAGAAGATATGATCACTCAGGAAGTTCCCTTTGCTTTAATATCAGCCTTGGCTTTGAGGAACAAATATATTTTGGGGCAGATGTCCTAACATTTGTGATTCCAGCAGTGTTATAAATTTTGTGTGATTTATAAGCATTGTAAATAGTTCTCTTGCAAAAGTTGGTGGATCAGATTAAGTGGTGCTTAAGCTTGTTCATCAAAGTTTCATTCCTTAAATAGAACCAACTTTTCCAATTTCCCATGCTTTCTTTGTGGTTCAGTAGAGAGAATCAAGGTTTGATCTGGACAGGTTCCTTGTTTTGCTTCCAAAGTGTGTAACTACAGTACAGTGAAACCTCTATTTAACAACCTATATGGAGAGGAAATTCCATTATATTGAGAGTCCATTATATGTGAAACCTCCATCTAAGGAACTAGTACTGTATATAAAGATGAAAAGTTAGTTATATTGAGGGTCTGTTTGATGTGAAAACCCCATCTAACGGATTACAGTACCTGTATATGGAGGGAGGAGTCCGTTATACAGAAGTTTCACTGTATACTGTACTAAAAATGTCTTCAATTATTTGTTTTTGTTATCCATATTGATGCATTATTCTCCAGCCAACCAGCCATCAGCCACCCACCAATTACTGGTCTGACACTGAGGGTCTGAGCGTGCTTAGTGATCTGTAAAATTTATTTTTACTTTTAGCCAGAGATTACTACATTCTAATTCAGTTAGGACTACTGTACCATTTTTTCACTCCCCTCACAACAAAAAAATCTTTAAACATTTATCTCAATATTGTTTTCACTATACTATACTGTATATGAAAACTCAATAGCAATTTCTTCACAAAATCATAAGTTGAAGACAAAACATAACTTTTGTGCGATTACATTAAAGTTCATTTTATATTTGTTTTACATCATTTATATAAAGGAGTTATTGTCTATAAAGAAACACGTGTGCAAAAAAAAATGCACCAAAATCAAACGTAACAGAATATACAGTTCAGAATTTTTTTTATAAAATAAAACAAAATAAGATACAAGATAATGATTGAAACCCACAGAAACATGGAATGGTAAGACTGTGTTGTACAGAACTGTATAGAGAAGCTTTAGTACTCCCCACATCTACTAATGCACCTGTGTTCACCCAGCTTGCTGAGCCTTATAACCTGTGGTGATTGGCACAAAACTTATTAAGATCAATGAAATTTATTACTTAATTTTTATGGAATTTCATTTATATATTTGCCCCAAGTAATTCATTGTGAAAATGAGTGAGTAATAGCTCCTAGGTGTTCATATATTGTGAGCTGCAATTTTTTTTTTATCTTGCTAGGCCTGAGGGGTATCTGTCTGTCTGTCAATTCACCCATTGTGCTTCAACTTTTTCTTAAAACAACCAATTTCAATGACCACAGGGCCATATTCAGTGAAACTAAGTAAAAGGCATTGTTAGGGTTAGGGTTTATAGTTGTTCAAATAAAGTTGGTACACAAAGCCTCTAGGGTCTTTTTTTTTTATGCCTTCACACATGGGGGCTCATAGTGTTGCCCATCTCATGTGTCCATCCATACAGTCCCTCTCCAAATTGAAGTAACAAATGCTACAATTTTCTATGGAAGGACACAGGGTATGAGTATTGTTTGAATTGTTACATCAAACTTCTTTCATGTTGTAAGCAATATTTGAAAAGTTAACATTGAATATTGAATTTGGAATGTAAGGAATAATATGGATAATCATTGACAGACAAGCCAGCCAGTAAAACCATTGGTAGTAAGACCAACGACCAACAGCATCACAAGCAACAGTAACCTGAGTAGTAATAGTAGCAGTAATACCAATAACAGCAGCTCTGTGTCCACTGCCTCCATTGTTGTGGTCAACTCTAATTCATCATCCAAGGCCACACCACCTCCATCCACCCCCACAAAGCCTGTATCAGGTTAGTCTTCTCAATATGTTAATGAGAATATGTACAAGGTCTTCATGATGGCTGTATATGTCTGTAACAAAGCTGCATTGAATTGTCTCAAACTCTTGATGTACAGTATGTGTTATATTTTGTTCTAAAACATTGCATATCATCTGGGCAGTGTCAGGCTTTGCTGCAAGTTGGGTGGCCTCACAGATTTCTCATTCCTTCTTGGACAGGATGTCACATTTCATTTCTCCACTTTTAACAGGTTCAACTTCTCAAACTACTCCAAACAACAGCAGCACAAGTTCGGGAACTTCCAACCACCTTATCACCTCAGCCTCACAACACAACAGTACAGGTAAGTCATAGATTAATAGTTTTGAAGAATGAAGCATAAGAGACTTTCATGCGGATTGGGTTCTTGACAAGTATCCATAGGCCCATACACTCGATTACACTTTAATCCCTCTAATTCGGATTTCACAACGTTTTGGACATTTTTGTAGATGTCAAATTTCTCAGCAATTTTTTGACAGAGATCCAAATGTATGAATTACACCAAAGTTGTAAAATTTACCCACTTGTAGTCCTGCAAATGTGCATTACTAGAAATTTGGGGGGGAAGGACACAATAAAGGACCATAAATAAAAATAAAAAATAGATCAGTTTTGAGAAATTATATCTATGTTGTGTTGTCAAAGTAAGAGAAACATTTGAAACCCTGCAATTTTGTGTAAATGAGGCAGAAAGTCAGATTAACAACCTGGGACTTGGTCACAATTTTTGTGATGCCATATGGCAGCAGGGTCTACCATTAGACAACACATTATGCTTCCAATATCTTCCCAGGTGGTAGTACCTCCCTGTTTGATAGCTGCCTACTACCTACTACCTTTTGAAGCTAGGTTTTGATGGGGAACTGTAAATAATAGCAAATTAGTTTACATCTTTCATGCTTAATGGATTAATCTGGGTCTTCCATCCTTATCTTATGACTGTAATTCACAAGTTGCCCAGTTCCAGGTTCATCCATAGATTTGGGTTATGAAGATCTGTTCTTATTTTGTTGTGAAAATTTTTTTTAAAAAGTATTTGTTGAATTTCTTATGTTACAGGAAGACATTCACCAGAACCAAGTGGACTGATAAACAGTGGTATCGTGAATAGTAATAGTGGGAGTGGCAGCAGCAGCAGCAGTAGTAGCAGTTGCAGCAACAGCAGTAGCAGCAGTGGGAACTCCGTATCAAACAGTAGTGGGAGTAGCAGCAGCAGTAGCAGCAGCAGCAGTAATGGTCTCAGCAGTGGAGTGAGCAGCAGTGTGAGCGTTACTTCTCCACAGGGCAGTCTAGCTGGTAGTGCCACCACTACTCCAGCATTACCAACGCCATCAACCCCATCAACACATCAAGTGCACACGCCAACTATGGTATGTAATCTTTCGTATCATCACCAATTCTCACCTGTCTCAGTCTTTTGTTTGTTATACTGTAGTACAGTGAAGTCACGATAATTCATGAAATACAATTTCAGATTCCTAAATTTGTGGATTCCTTCCTCTATTACAACTATATATATATTTTTTTTTTTTCAAATTTCCTGGCCTAATATAATTTCAATGTTCTAATGCGACTTAGAAATAATGAAAATAAATACAAAACTATAAAATAAGAAAAATGAGGAGTGAGAGAGAAATTTGGTTTGGGAGAGATGGGGTGGCTGGACTCAGCAGAAAATTTTCCCTCCACTCTCTCACTTTGTGGTAGATCTTGATTAACTTTATCATGAATCATTTGGAATGATTGTGAAACATTGTCAAACAATGTTGATGCTACTGCTGAAAACTGAGCAACTGGTATGAACTAGCCTACACACACTTTATTTTGTTTGTGCAGACATCTCTTCTGGCTGTGCTTTATAGTGTACAAACCACAAACAGTTTTTGCACTCCACAATCCTTCCCTGTGCACATTTAATTTTGTTTGTGCAGAAAAGTCTTAGCAAAAGTTTAAGCTTGTGTAGCAGACTTAAGATTCTGAAAATGCGGTTTCTCTTTGGTATTCAATGCTATTTGAATGTGGATTTAATCCCTTGTGTACAAGGGTCTCTTTGTGCTGAATTAAATCGTATGGCATATTAGCTAAATTAAATATTTAAAGTGGAATCCCTGTAGTGAAGGGGTTAATTTCAGATGCACTAGGCTGCAGGTATCTTGCTTGTATAGTACCAAAACATTGCCAGGTATTGTCCAAATGGCTTGTATGGCTGACTGTAGAGCAATGCACAGTTCTTGGGCAGTGTTAGAAGCTCTGGCCCCTGGCACTAGGTGTTTTTTTATTTATTTATTTTTTTTAAGCTGTACTTCCATTATTTGTCTCCTCACTTGGAAAATGGGACTTTGTGTCGTTCATAGTTAAGTAAGGTTTAGTGGGTATAATCATCATAATTAGTGTTTAACCACTTGTATATGGGACTCGTCTCTGTTGAATGAAATTGTCTGGTGTTAGCCAAATGAAATTTCAAAAGTGAAGGGGTTAATGACCATTTTCCACACTTGCACGGATTAGCTGTGATTACCTGATGGCATGGTGTCCCAGTTGCCATCAGGCAAATTTGTATATGTAAAAGAAATATCAGTCTTTTAAAACCTGGTTTTGGAAACCTTAATTCATGGTTGATATTTTGTTCAATATGACCCAAACAACAAAGAATTTAATACCAATCATCAGTACACTTCATCTTCTTGAAAATGCATTAAATGCTTGAGGAACTGAAAACCTTAAAATAATTTTTTTGTTAACTAAACCAGCAAATAGCTTCTCAAAATAAATTGTTGCTTGAAAATCATTGAACTGAAAAATATGAATATTGTCTTGGAGTGAAATGTTTGATAGTAATTAAGGTGACAAGAGGAAATAAGGATGGAGGTGATAGAGTGAAGGAGTGGAGAGATGAACAGCTGTAAGGTGACCTCCAACTGTTGCTTATACTGTAGTACTTTATGTTACTGTACATCAAAGAGCTCTCTTCAAGGATTATGTGCACTGTTTCTTATAGTAACACAAATATATGGTGCTTATACTTAAATTTTTTTGTGTTTGTGCAGTGAATTGTGTTATATACTGTACTGTAAAAGCAAATAAACAAATGTCACAACTATTTCAGAATGCTGCTGATACAGCGGTATCGTTAAAAGCGATAGCTCAGAAGAAAGTTAATGAGGTTAATTCCACATCGATACCACCCTCAGGTTAGTGTGATACAGTTCTGTAATACTGTAACAGATATCTAATACAGTATTTCAACATTTGCATTGCATTTATATCTTTTCTAGCTTGTTTCTTGTCACTTTATGTAGCTTATTACATTCACCCCCTCACAGATTGGCACATTTTTCCCAACTCGTCTTTATTTACACTTCTATCTTGATCACCTACCTTATTGGTATTATTACTTTTTCCTTTCTTATGGCTTATGGGTCCTCAGTAGACCCTTAAGCCATCAGCATTTGGTAGAGCCTACCTCTGTCAGTAGGCTCATATTGTTTAGTGGCAGAAAACACTATCCACATGAAGGATGTTTAGGCAGTATTACAAGCAGCTCTTCATACTTATCAAATTAAGGTTTTGGACTGTTGATCAGGTGGCTGGCTGAGTTGAAGACCAGTGAGACGTTAGGTCAAGAATTAAAAACTCAGTCATGTATAGTATGTGGAGCCTCCTTCGCCCATAAAGGAAATCGGTGTGGCAATTTTCAGCATGTGTAATCTGTACAATACTAAGAAATTCCAGTAAGCAGGGCTATATTCTCTAAATTTTGTCATGTATTTTGTGTATATTCTAGGCCCTTTTTCCCAAAATGATGGAAAACTCACAAATCTGATTTGTTTCTTGTCTTAAGTTTGCTGGATAATCAATATACAACCTCTGTCAGTAAAAATACATTGTGGATAATGAAAAGTGTTCACTAATTTATAAGTTTCATGTACATGTAGTAGGAGTGTGTATAGTGAGGACTTCCTGCTTGTACAAATGTGATTAATAGTTATTGTGTGGCTCTTGATTTTGTCCTTCAGGATGTCTAGTCCCTTTTGAACTTGTTTTTAGTGGCCAAAGTTCTTAAAGAGTTGGGAATATTTAGGTGTTACCTTGTCAGAGGTTTGAACTAGGGGTAGTCTTCTGTTGTGGTTCACTCGCAACCTTTCAGTATATCTTTTATCAACCTTCAGACAGTGTTTTGCTCATTCTTCTTTGGTAAATTATGTTATTTCTTAGATATAAAGCTTATGCCCATGTGCTGGGCATCACATGTTTTTAACAGGGATTATTTCAATCCCTTTCTCTTAAGTACCAACTGCTGTTTAAATTTATGCATTACTGACCAAGCACTTTGCAGCAGGTGTGTTAAAGGGATGAGGTGTGACACCATAAATGGGGTGCTGATGAGTCATGTTTTTGGATCTATCGCTGAGGGTTCCTTTTGGTTCTAGCTGATGATAATACAACAACCTGTGTCGATATCATTTTGTGATGACTAGATGGCTACAGCATTTATTGGCAGAAACAGTAATTGCAGGTTATTATTTTGTAATGGTGCACATACGGGTGCTTCTCTTGTTGCTCATCTTAAAACAATTAGGTGATGGGGCTTATTAGTACTGTATTCATATCCTGTCACAAGGGTGGCTATATCATACCCAGGTCACACATAGTTGCCTCATCTCTCTGGGTACCTGGTTTTATAGAAGAGAGAAATGCGGCAGTAGTGTGGGGAACTTCCCTCCCCTCCCCTCTCTGTTTTGTGTGTTAGTGTGTTTCCTCCATATTATTCTCTATGACCAATTGGACATATGGATCAAATTAGTGTAGTTTTGTCCCAGTTTTGTGTGTTAGCTTCTTCCCTCTCTCCAACTTTGACTTTCAAGTTGAATAGAAGGAAACTTTCAAACCTCGTATTTGATGATGAGTGTATCTAGCAAAAAAAGAAAAAGCAAGTGAGTGAGCGAGAGATAATAAACAAGAGAGAGAAGGAATGAGCAACTGAGAGAGTTTAATTACATCTAGTTATGACTACATTCAGACATGTGGCTTCTCAAAATGCGCATTACTACAACAAGTGTCACCTTAGGATGGGCTCCAGTGTTGACAGTGGTACTATACTGCTGAAAGGAACTGGAATACAGCTCAGGTTATGGCTGGTCCTGCACTGTTTACCAAAGTCATTTATGCTTAGATTATGTCCAAAGTATATATTACTTCAGAACTTCAGTTAAAATTTCTTCACACTGACCAATAGAAGTTCACTTGTGTAGAAAGTTTGAGCTAGAGAGGTGATACAATATTTTATGCAATGTCACTCCAGTTTGGAACCTATGCATGCACTTGATAAATGACTCGTAGGCTATAGTAAGTGAAGGTGAATATTAATAGCTAAGCTTTCAGTACACAAGAGGCACATCACACTCAACTGCCTTTATACCCAGCTGTTAATTTAGGTACATTTACTGCTGGGTTGGCTGGAGGTTCTCTTTCTCTCCAACTTTAGTGAGTTACTGTATCTTATTGACACATTATTTAAAGGGAAGTATGTCAGTGACCCATTTTATAACTTAAGTGGTTCAAGTTATGTGATATAGCAAAGTACTGTATTCCTATGGTAACTGTTCGACTAGCTTGATTTTTCAAAGCAAAAGCTGGATAGTGGTTAACCTGTCACCCTTGTGTATTATTGGGTTACTTGGCAAGTGGCTGTGTTATCAAACAACCATTAATTGGTCTTTATAGGACACTGTTCCTTTTCACAGAACACAACAGACAGACCAGTGGCCAGGGCAGGCTTTGCCAGGTTGAATCCTGACAAAGTGTCTTAACCCTTAGGCCCCGGGTGACGTTCCAAAACGTCCGCCTATTTTCCCGCCATTTATTTTTATTATTTTAATTTTTTTTATTTTTTTTATTATTTTTAGAAATGTTGATTTATTTTCTCGATTTAACCCCGCGCGGGGGGTATTGCCAGCAGCACCCTAACCCATGGCTTAAGGGTTAACAGGTCACATGGTCCTTCATCTCAATTGTAAAAAAGGGATTTTAAAATTAAACCCCCCCCTTTTTTTTAGTATTGTTTTTCCATACACTTCCCGAGTTCTCAAAATATTCTTTATTGTTAGATTAGATTCTCTTTTGCATTTAATTGTAATCTTTAACATTCATTTTACTATAATATAAAATTTACATCATTCATTTTTTAATATTCTGATACTTACAGTGTTGGATGGCAGCAGTTGTGTTGTAAGCAGTAGCAGTACGACTACCAGCACTAATACAAATAGTAACAATAACTCAACCTGCACTAATAGTTCGGGGAAAAGCACGGGGACTTGTGAAGCCCACATTCCTCCACTATTAGGAGTAGCTCCTCTAGGCCCAGCCCAGTTAACAGTTGAGCATGAGCTACAGTTTAAAATGCTACAGGCGGCCTTTTTCCATATGCCTCACCCGTCCGATTCGGAGAGATTGAGAATACACTTGCCCCGCCAACCGTGCCAGACGCCGCTATACTATCCACAGGTGAGCGGCTTGGACCTACCGGTACGCATAAATGAGATTTTATTTTGTTGTCTCAGAAAGTTTAATAGTTAATATGACAGTTAATTATCATACTTAGCATAAGATCAAGAACATTATGTATCAGATAGTAAGAAAGTAACAGTTGGATGACTTACTGTATATTTTTGTGAGGCTGTTTGTTGTCTTCAGTACAAGAATGATTGTGTGTGTGTATCCTAAGTGTCATATTCCTCACAACACTTCTTTGTGAACAATAGATGGTTGCTGCAGAGCTTATAGGAAACTATATGATAGATACACAACTTCTGATCTTAATACTAATGACCTTTTACACACACACACACACACACACACATATATTTCACTTAGTTCTCTCACTTCTACACCTACATTTGACTCGGCTCTTTTACATTACATATTTTTCACTCACACTTACATGTCACCCAAATCTTTCTTTTATGCACATATATATTTCTTCCAATTCTACACATGTACCTCAATCAGTCTATGCAATCCTACACATATATTAATCCCTCTCCAACCAGGGGTTTACTATCCACAGTTTTGAGTTCTGTATATTGTAAGGTTGATGACCACATGAACTGTGAAACCATTACAGTACAGTTGTAAACACAAGAAGTTGCAGTAATGCATAATTTATCAGAGTTGCATTAAATAACAGGGAACAGACATCCCCTGAATGACATCTGACCCTCTGACCTTAACCTTTGACTGATCATGACCTAACACAAGAAGCCTTGAGGGATCTAACTTATCCAGGGATAAATCTCTATTTGAAACCTCAATCAAATCTCACTCTTATAGCAATAGGTTTATCTATCAACCCAACCAGATGACCTTTGATCCCTTTGGCTTGTTATTTCAGTAATCTCTTCCAGGTGCATGAACCTTAGAACAACAGTTTTCCAGAATTTAATATGATTTTTTTTTTTTTTTTCTCTAATTAAGTGTGGGAAGGGTTTTATATATTATAGTCTGATTTACCAACCACTTTATCCAATTTAAGTATCTGCAGTTACCACAAACTCATAATATCAGAAAAAAAATATTGTTTCTGGCCTTGAAGTGTAACTCTGGTGATGTGAGTGGTGCTACTCCAAAGAGGGTGAGGAATGAAATATCATTAGAACAGAAAGTGAAAGTGCATAATCGTCTGTACGTGGTGAAACTGTAGTGTGTGTCAGGAGGCATTTTCATGTTTAATGAGTCGACTATAAGAATTACAAAGATTAGTGAAGGTGGCATTAAGGCTAATGTTGGTGGGAAGGGCACCAGAGAGCACTTGAGTCACTTATATGCTCCGTGATCATTTCTTAAATAAAGAAGAGAAAGCACTCTCTGTGGATCAAAGATATGAGGAAAAGCGACCGAGTAGCAACATGATCTGAGAGAAAATGAGGCATATTCATAGCCGTCTTATGGATACATTGAGCAGTATAGCCGGTACAGTCGTCCAACGAGATGACATCACGGTTTACAGTATAATTACTTCAAACAACGGTATCTGGCAACTTGGCGGGAGCCAAGGGAAAGACTGACCACTGACCAGTGGGCTGGACATTGTCATTGTAAGATGGTATATACCCTAAACTCCTGAGCCAAATTTTTTTGCTACCTAACCTTTTCTGGCATTCCCTCATATTTTTGCTGGTAAAAGAACTATATCCCAATCACCTGCTTAAAAGATGAAGAAAATGTGTGCAGGAAAAAAAAGGACAGCCAGTCCGAGATGATACAGCAACACAAGCCTGTAAACACTTCTAGTGTAGAATATTCTGCATCTGGCTTATTTCCTTGTCTACTGTAGAAGTTGTTTTATTTTTAGAACAATATGAAAGGCATTTGTTACAATAAAATTATTATTAGTTTAATAAAGTTTCATAGAAGTTAATAATTTAACCAAGTTTTACTTTTTTCATCAGTAACGAGTGACCATCGAACGGAAAACTTTAAAGTTTTATATTTTATTCTTGGGCGTTAAATAATGCATTACCTTCAGAGTATAGATGACAATTACGTTTCTTATAATTGCTTGAGGAAATGTCCTCAAGAAATGTTTCTTTAAACATACTGTAGTTTGTATAAAGCTCAAAACTGTTTTGAGAATGTTTCCTGCTTTATGTCCTCGTCCATCTAGGTGGTGAATACAAAGTATATTTGTTTACATATTCATTAAAGACATGGCATAAACTATGAGCATTACGGGTATTTCAATTCATATTTTTTATTCGCTATTCATTTAAACTTAACACAGTTAATATATACGTTTTCATTTTAACGTTTAATTAGAACTCCACAAGTTATTCCTGAACGTCCGTGAGCGATAATCTCATATGTCATATTATTTTGTTTCAAACTATAATGAAATTTTAACAACATGATTTGTTCTTACAAAATTCTTGGGAAAAACTGCTTTTGCATTTATTAATGAATTTATGTTACTATTTCACAGAATTGTGTTCCACTTCAAAAAAAATAAAAGCAAAAATAAAGCGAGTCTGGTAGTTGCCAGATGCTACTTTTTGATTGAAACTGTCTGGAAATAGTGACATTATTTATTTCGACGACTGTAATTTGTGAAGTCCTACCAGCTTCCAAGCCATCAGAGGTTGGGGGGGGGGGTTAACTGGTACAGTGTGAAAACTGTGGGTGAGTCAGCATCAACACGAAGCAGCATTGCAAGAGAGGTATAAAGGCCAGACACTGGGCATCAAGGGGGACTACTCCATTACACTGGTTTTTTTTTTCTTTTTCTTTTTTTCTTTTACCTTTATAGGATTTATTTAGCCTCCTGAAAAAAATTTAAATTTATTTCCTCTCAAAGTTCTTAAAAAATAATTGCAAAGGTCAGACAAAAATCTATAATAAAAGAGTACAGTAAACCTTGTCCCATACCTGTCCATATAAGTGGATATGAATAAGTCCTGTTGCACTCCTTTTCACTCACAAGCCACTACTGTATATTGTTGCATGAACTCATGAACTATAGTACACTAATGAAATCAAAGGAATAGAGAAGAATAAAAAGTGAGAGAGTGGGGGGGGGGTGGCCTCACCGCACAAACCAATTCCTGAGATTGATATTTGGTTTGTAGTTGTGGGCTGAACATTTATTAATTGGGAACAATAAAATATTAAACCATAAGGAGATCATTCATATATCCAGATGTTCAAAATTCGGGCTTCTGTAACTTGAGATATTTCTCTTTGGTAAACGTTTTTTATGTTATAGCCAACACCCTGTACATTTAACCTTGAATTGTACATTATAGGACTTTAGGTACAGTGTGGCTCTCAGGGGTCACTTTCCCCCAGCCCTTGCCAACCACTGAAGATTTCTAAAACATATCCCCTTTTATTCTTTCACTTGTACATACAGTATAGGTCTCTCAGTTCTTTCACTTGTACACTCTCTCTCTCTCTGGCATCAGGTGAACACGACAAACTACGCGATAGATGAAAATCACTGTAAAATTGTGATGATGATTCTGTTCCACTTACAAAAAAGTATATATCACTCAGTTCTCCACATATACATAATCCAATCTTCCACTTTGACTGACATACCTCCCATACTCTATATAACTGTTAATTTTTTCTTTGTAGCCCAACTTTTTATTGCATCTTTCATCTCAGTACCGTATATCATTTCTTTTGTAACACCATGTAATTTAATTTCCTCTGATCTGACATTTCAGTCTTATATATATTATTTTCTAATCAAAATTATCTGAACTACTTTACATTGCATTATAAACTTTGTTAATACACTTTCACACACACCCATAAAACTCCATTTTTACACACGTACAATTCATAATTCTTACACATCACTACAGGAAACCTCATTATATATGTCTGGCTAAGAATTCAATAAATATGCCAGGCTTTTATTACTCTTCTGTTAATTCACTCTCCATTTTATCTTTATGCTAATTTTCAGGGGTAAAAGTTTAACCCAAATATAAAAAGTTTTACTTTGTTTATCTTGTGTCCTGCATTTGTTTATGGGCTAAGGAAACTCCTAGATGTCCCACTGCTAATTGCCTCACAGATAAAGCCTGCCATTGCCTGTGCAGATTAAAATGCCTGCAGCAGGAGACTTAATCTTAATGGATAAATATAATGTATTGTAGCAAGTCTTAAGGTTACCTGATTTACCCAGTTTGGAGTGAGTACCTGACCTTCTGTTAGGGGAGTGATGGTACTAAGGTGTAGAATAAAGTGTGCTGTAACATTGCCCTTAACAATACATCATCCCAATGGGACCCACTTTCACTTATTATATATTGTTCAGTAAGTAAGTCAAAATGAGAGTTAATAGAAGAGATGTAAAAGGTAGGCATATTTTTCAAGTCCTCAGCAAGACCGGTATAATGAGGTTTGTTGTAGTTATGCAATGTACAGAAACTTACAAGCAAGTAAGATAAGTGTTTTGCAGATGTGTAAGAATAGTATTTTATAGCCTGGCAGGATACAAGGAGACTCACTTATTTACCTGTTAGGATTTTGGGTTGAAACTGAGGATAACCCTCACCATTGAAGACTGGTACAAATTGAATAATTTAGTATCTCTCTCCCATTGTAACCCCAAACCGTCAGGGAGGCAGAAGTTTACCAGTTAAGACTGAGAGCTGAATAAGTCTTGTTGTGAAAGCAACTTTCCTTAGTCATCATTGGCCATAGTGGATTTTCAGCACCAAGCCTTTGTACTACATTCTTCCCACTCTAAGCAGGTTTTATTCTGTGTAACAGGTATTCCTCAAGTTACCAAAGCTCGAGTTCCAGAAATTTGCACTAATGGAATAAAAAAATATGTAATTGATTTTGAGATACAAAAAAAAAAAAATTCTGGAGTTAACAAAATGGGGATAAACTATATATCATAACACCCTCCAATATTACACTATTCACAAAATAAAACACATAATACTGTATATTTAGTATAAACTACCTGTAAGCTAAAATGTGCTGGCAAGGATGATCCCAGAAGGCTGACA